GAGGAGGGGGAGGCCCGGGCTCTCGGCCCTCCCCCCCCGTCCCCGTTTTATTCCCTCAGGGCTGTGAGCCCCCCGTACCCCGTGTTTGGAAGCCCTGGAGAGCTGCCTGAGTCTTCCAGGCACCTCACGGCCTGGTTAGAGCAGGCCTGTGGGGATGGGGAAGGCCGAGGGAGAAAGAGCAGGAAAGGGCCACAGCTGCCTGGGTTCCTTGGGGCGGCTCAGAAACGAGGCGCGGGCCCAGGCTCAGCCCTGCTTGCTCGGGATCGTGCCCGAAATCCACTACGGGGCTCGGCTCCGGCCCGGCCCGTTCCCGAGGCTGCGGCTTTTGGGGGAGCGCGGGGGCTGCGGGGGCCCCGCTGGGGGCCAGCACCGCGGCTCCGCCGAGCTGGGGGTTTGGGGCTGCGGGGTGCCCGCCGGCCCGTGGCACCAGACCCACTTCCAGCAGGTGGCATCTTCAGCCCAGGTTTTACTGCTCCGGCTTTTTTTTTTCGGGTGATGGAGCAGGCTGGGGAGGCGGTTTGTGAAGCAGCTCTGGAGTCCTGGAAAGCAAAGCCCGGGGACGCTCCCCCGAAGGCCTCCCCTGCCTGGACGGGGCGTAGCAGGCAGGGGCAGGATGCTGTAAACTGGGTGCTGGTGGGAAACGGCCGTGTAACGGCTCAGTAACTGGTCGGCAGCTTCTGGAAGGGTTTGGTCATTGTGTGGAAATTGCAACTGTGGGACAAATTTGCAGTCGTTTAGTTGCTGATTGATGATCCCAGCTGTTGATAAGACATGTTAGCAATTATTTACAACCGATGAGGAAACTGCTACTGAGTCCTGCAACTCCTTTATTCAGGAGGTGGGTCTAGACAGCCCGGCGTGGCCCAGCCCTGGAGCCAGACGGAGCCTGGCTGCCCGCAGAGCGGAGCCCGCGGCCCTGGACGGGGCATTTCACACCCCGGAGGGAAGTTCCCTTCCGTGCTGAGGACGTGGATGCATTTCTCCTTGCCCTGTTTCATGGTTGGAGGACAAGTTGCCACTTGATCAAATGGGTGCTGGGTGCCTGTGGGATGGGGAGGGAAGGATCCGTCTCCACTGACTTTGTCCCTCTGGAATTCCCTGACGCAGGAACTGCAGAAGCTGAACGTGGCAACACTCGTCGGGATGCAAATGGCAACAGATATTAATGCACGTGGAGATAAGGGCGGGCAGGGTGGCCCGCAGCCTGCTGC